TCATCATCTTCTTCCTCCCTCTAAACTGTAGCCTAATTTTCTGAAAAATTAACCAACCACTCAATTTTACAAGTCTTTCTCTCTCTCCACAAAGTACCAAACTTCCTCAAACCAATGCTAATATCCTCCACTCTCAACCTACTTTTAAACCTCCACGGACTTGTTTCTTTAAATAGCTCTCATGACCCACGAATTTAAGCTCAAAGGTGATTATAAACTCATTTTTATAAGTTATGTACATACCAGATTTTTTTTAACATTTGGGCCAACTTTGGCCCTTAATCTCTCCCTCGTTTCTCAACATTTTTGGGTAATTCAAATACCTAAATTTAATAAGATTGTGTTGAAATCGATAGTAGACGAGTACAGTAAAATAAGGGTCATATTTTAAGGGGAAATAATATAATTTCGAAAACAATAGATTTAGGGCATAAAGAGAATTCAGAACACTTTCAATCTCGTTTTATTTAAAGAAAATGTTACATAATTCAAATGAAATCTAAAAATTAAAATTTAAATGGATATCATCCCTTATACTAGTGTGGGATGAGTGAGTCTCACTGAAAAAATTGATTAAACTCACTCATCCAAATGATGATATGCATTTGAGTTATAACTTTTTAATTTTAGTTAGGTTTTGTAGCATTGCTCTTTCTTTAATATTTAGTACTTTGCAGAGACAAAATAGAACTCAGTTGTCCTTGAGTGGTTCTGTGACAAAATTAAGCTTAAATTATTAATTTTTAATGACTTTATTTGAAATTTTTCGTATTTAGTTAATTTGAAAAAAAAAATTAATACTATAAATTTTACTAAAAAAATACGAATTAAGTTTTAGCTTTAACGATAATTTATTGAACGATCATTAACAAAAAAAAATTAGGTAGATTACTATTTGGTTGGGCCCCTAACAATTTTTTTTTTTTGTTTGATTCCGTCACCCCATCTCGACTACATGGGTTACTAGAGCTATTACTGATTCAGAACCTTTTTTTTATTTGGTTTTTTGAATGAAATTTTGTAGAGTGATACTTCTATCTATATTTATATCTATACTACTTCAAAATGTCAACAAAAGTGAAAAATATCGGTTGTCTATACTACTTCCAATTAATTCATCGACAATTAAATTTATCAGTCTAACCAATTATGCAGGACCCTCTTAGGAGTTATTACCAATTAAGGATGCAAGATTAATATAGGACTCTTGGCAGTTTGTAACCCCATGACAGGCAAGACTATTACATAACTCTTGGTATTTCATCATTTCATGACATAAAACTGGAGGGAATCCATTTGGTCGACCAAATTATAGAAACATTTTTCTTTAGGAAGAGGACAAGTAGGAAGAAATAAAGGAAGATTAGCTTTCAACTGTCTTGCATAGTAAGTGGAGGTTGTGGTTTCGTACCAAATAGAGTTTTGCTGTTGGAGGGCGTCTGATGAGATTTTCATTTTTGGTCATTGCAACATCATTTTTGTGTTTGGATGGGAATATTACTTTGGCACCCAGCCCGAATTAGGTAAAAATGACGTATGGAACAATGGGAAGCAAATTAGACCTATTGTACAGTTAGAAATAATGATGCTGTGTATTATACAGGAACAGTAGCCATAAGTAAATAGTTGCACCTACCTTGTTCTTGTTTTACATATAGCCGTTTGTCCACTGGACTTCTCCAACTAATAGGAGGTGAAAGAAGTAAGGGGAAATCTGGTTAAGTACTCACAGAACAGATTCCTGAGATTTTTCTTGACCTCTATACTTCTACAGGAAACTCACGAAAGATCAAAAATACCAAATTGTATGTGGAATATGCCAATACTACATCAATACAATATTTTGGTTTTGCTTTTGGTTTTAGTCCTCAAGTTTCATTTAGCTATGTTTGATACTAATATTGTAATGCATTATTTATCTACAACCTGTTATTCACATGATCTGATATAATTTGTTTTTTTGAGTGATCATTGTGTTCAATTCAAGTATAGGGGATCAGAGAAAGAAAAAGGAAAGCAACAGACCAAGTGTCATAAAAATCTCTCTCCCTCTCAATATAAATGAGTGCACATATCTCCTATTTTTTCATTTTACCCTCCATATTTTCATGTTTTGATCATTTCTCCCTTTATTTCCCCCCCTTTATTTCGTATATAGCAATTTCTGCATATAGAAATAAGTAGCGTGATTAGATTAGTTCAAAATAAGTTCTTCACTTCATAGATCATATCAACCTAACATATAGTTATGCATCTTTAGATCACTTTAAGGTTTTCCCTCTAATGTATTCCATTTCAAAATCTGCCAATTGATCTATAGCTATGAAATATATCATAATATAAGTTGATTAATTGATAAAAAGAAAATTACTATACTATTATTTATGAGCAATTAAAACATTATTTACTTGTTTAATTGTTATTATGTTTGTTCCCTCATGCACAAAATATAACAAATAAAATTACTATAAAACATAAAATAATTCACGTACAACACACATGTACATTAAATAGTAATATAGAAATAAAAGGACTCCACAAGAGTGCTGCCTTCTAAGGAGAGTAATATATTTGGCGAGGCCAAATCTAATTGGGTCAGACCAAATAAACCAAGTAAGGACAAATCAGTTAAAAGGCAGCTCAAACCCACTTCGTGAATTCGACTCAACTCAAGGTCCAGAGAGTTCAAGAAGAATTAAAGCACATGGGGAGAAATTGTTGGAATACTCACTTTTTGATCAAGGCAACATTTTATGACACTTACTTTTTGTAGCCACCTGGAAAATTAGTATCATTGCCCTCACGTCACCACCTTAACTAAGGTCTTTGTGCCTATAAATTGTAAATTCGTTCTACATGAGAGATTACATTGAACTCTACCTCTACACTCCACTACACACAAAAAGCTTTTCTCTCTTCTAACGATTGTACCTCTCTCAGAGCTAACCATTGTTTTCTCTCTCTTTTTCCTTACTTCATCAATAAAGATCCCCTGGCCACCGTTGCTGTTTCCCAAAGTGGAGTATGTCATCCGGACCGAACCACTATACATCCGTGTGTTGACTCAATATTTACATTACTATCATTGATTGATTTATTTATTGTCCATTAATTACACCTTATCACACACTCGACTGTTGATCTTGCACAAGACTATTGTGTGCATCATCAATATTTAATGCAATTGTGAAACTCTGTCACATGGTGTTACTATTCAACAATAAACCTACATGTAGATAAATGAACCCTACATGAGTAAGTATCCATTGTATCGATATAAAAAAGTGACTACCTTAGGTAAAAAAAATAAAGTTCACCTTGCATATTTATAGATTTGTTATTGGATGTTAATACTACATGACAACAGTAACATGATGTAAACTAAATATTTTTTTTTTGGAAGGTAAATTGTATACATAAAGGAAAAATACAAGAACAAAACAAAGGGAGATGCTTACATGACAGAATGCATACTCCCATAACAAAAGAAGAACCAAAATGAAAAACAAATATACCAATAGTATGAGATTCTGGTACTTTCAGTAGAGTCCAGACTCAATAGAAAACAAAGGAGAGAAAAGGCTTCTCCTCAAAACAGAGAAAGGCAAGCAGCATTCAAAAGGAAGTGAAAAAAAGAAGAAAACACTTCCAGAAGAATCCTGCAAAGAGAGGCAATGAAGGAGGAAGAAGAGCTATTGAAGGCAATCCATCAATCCCCAATAGTGAACAAGCTGCATATTTACATCACAGGGCTTGAACTTGAGGAAAGCCATTTTGCTTCTAATGGCCATTTGAACAACTTTGGAGATAGAATTAGAATCCCTGAAGATATTTCTGAATCTTCTGTTGTTTCTCTGCATCCATAACTGATAAAGAGTGGCCACAAGGCTCAATCTAAGAAGAACCTTTAGCATTGATATTCAATGTAAACTGAATATTTACTCAAGTAGATTTATTATAATCCTTTTGGTACAGGTTTTTGTTTCCTTTACCTGGGTCACAACACTAGACTCCTAAGTGGTAATTAGTGGAGCTTCCAGTTGAGGTACTATATTTTGTTATCGATACATATTCACTTATCCAAAAAAAGAAAAATCACATAGTAAGCATGTTGATCTAAATACAACACAATTTATAGACAGATTGAGTTTGTGTCAGATGATTTGACAGAGAATCCACTAAATGGGCCAAATTAAAATTAATGAATATCAATATGCACCTAAAACAACATTTTGATATGACTATCTGCTGGTCATCGTTAATCTTGCTGGATTGTTTGGGACTTATTGCATAAGGTTTTATTCATGATAGATTATAACTAGATTAGTTAGTAGATTGGGTTATGAGCAAAACAGACTTTTAAAGAGTGGAACTCAGTTTGGTTTTGGGTTTCTAAACTAGAGAGTTTGAATATAATACTGTGCACTGTATCCTTTTTCTTTTTGGTCCAACTTTTATTGTTTACCAAAAATTTATTCATAGATGCTTACTTAAATACTCCAATTTTGAATAATAAAATTAAAAAATGAAAAATGAAAAATGAAAAATAAAAATCAAAACAAAATTATATCTCAAATTTGTTCAAGTGGAAAGCAAATACATACCAACCAGTAAAAACCGGTCCTTCATACACGTACTATTTTCTACGTACACAAAATGAAAAACAATAATACTCTTGATTTTAAGAAGGTAAAACCTTCGTATGGTAAGAAATATCGTTAGACTAAAGATCTATCAGTAAAACTTTACCATGATGAACTAAAACAGAAGCAAACATGTAAAATGCACACTATTTATACAATACTACTTGACTATGATCAACGGACTAAAATTGCTGGTTTAATCCACTACTACTATTCGATCAACTGTCAATACAATAGCAGCAGTGGGATTAAATCATCAAATTGGTCAGATGAGTATGTCCAAGTAGCATTATTATTTTTCCTCGATATAAGCCGAAACCCTATCATAATATACCATTTTTACCATCAGTGATATCCTCAAATGGTGTGGCTTGCAGAATTATTCAGCTTCATGTGCTCCAGGAATGACTTTCCATTGAGCTTACGAGAGATTAACTCTTTGAAATAGTTTTCCATTTTAACCCTTTTGAATAATGGAGGGTTTTGTGGGTTTAGGATGCTGGTTGCTGGTCCAACCTCTTCTTCAAATTTAGGGTTGAAAAACATGGCCATTGAGATCCTTTCTTTCACTGTGTTTACCATAGCCCTGTGCTCTATACTGTTGTACATTCCGTTGCTAAAGATCTGCATAGCCATGTTAAATATATGAATATTGTTGATAATATTCTTATCTGGATTTGACATAAGATAAGGGTTTTTGTTGGGCAGGGAACTAGGATTAAATACTAAAAGAGGCTAAACAATGATATTCAATGAGATTATCCAACAATTTGTTGTACATATCAAATTTTTAATTGTGTAAAATCTACCAAAATCTTTTGGACGATACATTAGAACTGACTCACTAATAGAACAACCGATGATTACTACTTAATTATATCATAGAATCAATTGCATACAGCTAAATGTCGACTTGGTTTCATCACAATTTCAATAATTTCAACACCAATTCATCACATGAATCAACAATACATTCCAGCTCAATGGATGCTTTACTGTACTAATAACACAACCATATCGAGTTAGTTCAAAAATAATGCGTATCGATTTTCTCTCTCTAAAGCGTCTAGAGAAGGGAGAGAGTGAGTCACCGCAACAGGAAAATCTGATCCAGTCTGCAATTAATGACAGCCAGCACTGCAATAACGGAGGAGGACTCTACAAGTTCTCAAGAAGGATCGTTGGAAGAAGACGACCATTTCAAAAGAAGCATGAAGAAAGTAAAAGAAACCCAAGAAAGAACAGAAAGTGAAGTGAAGATTGTTGATCATCCATATGAGCAAGAAAGAGCATCATTGAAAACTAGGGGATCAAACCTGGAGGTGGATCTCCAAAGTGAAGGAATGAAAACTACAAAAACCAGTGTCAGGGTGACATTTTTCTTAATGACATCGTATCAAACAACAGTCCTGATCAAATTCTATTATAGTTCCTTTTCGGCAATCTGGTCAATTTATTTGATTTACTGTTTTCTTGTATGACTTATATCATAAATATTTGTAAGTAATCTGCATATATAATACATTCTCCCATTAATAAATTAGCTTGATCGTGTTAAAAAAATTGTATTGATTAGTTAGTAAAGTCTTCTTTGGGTTCACAAACATATCATGTTTTGGTTTGAGACCGAATGTTAATCCATTAAAAAAAAAAATGTTAATCCATTGAACTCATCTAACCTTTGTTTAGGGCTGAGCTAAGATTTCCTTCTGAAGGGAGCTAAATAGTGACATAACATGATATTTTTATTTAATGAGGGTCATTCAGTAATATCTTTAATGTCAATTTCTTTCATACACATAGAATATATCAGAATCAACCTTACACAACACACTGCAATAATTATTTTTAATAAAATGAATAAAATTAATTACAAATTAGTCAAATAAATGGAAGATAAGTTGAATTTTATCACCAGTACAATTAAATTTCATCATACTTTTGATAAATGTGAAGAAAGAGAGGGGGAGAGAGAACAAATATTTAAAACACATAATCCAAATAGGTTTGAACTTTTTATATAGTGTTTTAATATATTATAATTTGTCCTCTTATCTTTTTCATTAATTTCATTTTAATGATTTATGCAAAATGTCAATTTCAATAGTTAATGGTGTAATATGGTTAAATCAAAAGTCCAGAGCATAAAAAAATATATTATAATTTAAGGTATAAAATATAATTTTATGAATTTCAAGTGGCATATAAAATGTTATCAAAAACATAATTTTAAGGGTATAACAAATAATTTTCAAAAGTAGAGGGTCATGGTCCTTTTGGGCTAGAAAATGGCTCTGCCACTGTCTTTATTCAGGACCTAAATGTGACACATGAACCTGTCTATTCTATGTTTTTAATATTACTTACATCATTTTTTAAAATCTTTCATCGCAAATATAACACATTCAATCCATTTAACAACCAACCATGTGACGACGCACTTATTAAAATAAGATGTACTAAATATATTGCTTACTAAAGGAAGACCAAGAACCTCCAACTCTTCTTCTAATTTTTTTTTTTTTTTTTTTTTTTTTTTGTTACAGTTTTTTGATACTATTAATGAATTATGATCCGTGGGTTGTATCATGTTACATGTGATAGACTTCAACATGTTGCGAGTCAAATAATAGCCTTGACCTGCATGACTGTAGCATATAATAGCCTCCCATGTTTGAAATAGTTTTTGAAGCATAAATAATATCTAAAAATAATAGGAAGCATATATAAAAGGTAGATCTACTGGACCAAGTACATGTACTCAATTATTATATAGATATATAATCATATTAGAGAGAGAGAGAGAGAGAGAGAGAGAGAGAGAGAGAGAGAGAGAGAGTAGAATGGCAAACCTCTAGAATGTCTCCCACATTCACAACAAAGGCATCTGGGAGGAACTTAACAGGAATCCAAACTCCACCCTTCTTAACTTGTAAGCCTTCCACTCCATTAACTTGGAGAAGAATGGTGATTCCAGTAGCATCTGAGTGAGGAGTGAGACCCACAACTCGCTCTGGTTGTGGGCATGGAGGATAGTAAGTCATCCTCACTGATTGCATCCCATCCACAAACATCTCTTCTATCTCTCTCGTATCAATCTTTAGTGCTTCTGCTATCAACCCAAAGAGAGTCATGGCTAGGTTTTGAAGCTCTGACAAGTAAGACTCCATGGTATCCCTGCAGTGAAGAAGAGATCCAGATGATACTACCCATACATACATGAACTCAAACATAAAAGAACCGAGCTATTCATAAACAACTGGAGAACAGTTCGATAAAAACTTATTTATAATCGTTTCTTTATTGAATAAACCAACTCAAATTTAAATTTGAAGCTCCTTTAATAGACAAGCCAACCACGAGCAATGGCTTATTCTGCTAGGTAGGGTTTTGAATATATACACCTATATACAAACATATATAAGATGTGTTATATCATATATATTTCTTATTCTTATATATTATACCTACGTACTAAGTTTTATGTACTACCTATACAATACCGTATGCATAATTGTATACAGGCAAGCTGAGCATCATCTTGAACACAAGCCTGAACTGGCCGGGTTCATTTTATCTGCACCCTTATGTCTTTATGGATGCATATACAGACATACATGATACATGTGCAAATATTTGTGTGTGTGTGTGTGTGAGGGAGAGAGAGAGAGAGAACCTAAGTGAGGGAGGGAGCTCCGGCAAAAGATATGGTTTCCTTCTGTGGAGGGGATTGGTTATCATGTAAAACCTATCTCCCCAATCAGCTTTATGATCTTCAGATTGCAGTGGGGTTTGGCCATACCCTTCAACATCACCTGGTCTTAACTTGTACTTCAATTTATCGTCCACAGGTAGCTTGTAAAATTCTTGAATCTCATATTTCAGCTTTTCCACCACCAAAGAGTTAACTCCATGGTTCACCACCTATATACATAATAAGAATAGTTTGGCTACACAAATCCTCGAATCCATACATTTACTCACAAATCCCATCCATTGATTAAATATGGGTTTTATATATGCAGGCAAAGAGAATCGAATTCAGTACATGCAAGATTTAGCTCGTTCAACTATTGAACCAATCCTTGAGAGCCGATTCCACACTTGATTAAACTAAATTCATGGGTAGTTTCTCTCACATAAGTAATTAAAACAGTTTGAGATAGGAGGAAAACCTGAAAGATGCCCAGGGTTTTGCAGATTGAGTCTAACTTTTCTAATTCTAACTCCTTGGACTCCCCCATGATCAAGTTTTTCATGTCAACTATGGGCAAGGAAAAGGAATCAGAGAGAACAGTGGATTCCTGATATGGTTGAACGTAGCGATGTGGGATGGCAAGCATGGGTTCTTTTGCAAGCTCCTGAACGCTCAGTAAACTCTTTTTATTCAGTGGCTGAGAGGATGCCATTGCTCGGTTGAACTGCACCTACGCAACTATCTTAAGACGGGCATTTATAAACCCGCACGGGTTGTCCAGTGGTAAAGGATTAGTATGGTGCAAATGGTCAAATACAGACACTTATGTGTTTTAGTAGGAATCTTTATGGTGGAAAACTAAAAGCAGAAAACATAAAACTAACTGAGATATAGAATAAACCAAATATAGCCGGGAAGAAGATGGCTCTGGAAAGGAGGGCAGGGGGTTGGTTTGTTGGTATTCGTGCTGTTATTTTTTAAGCATTTTGAAGGATTAAAGCCACATGCATATGTGTATTTCATTAATTCTTTGCTTCTTGTAGTTCTGTGATTCTTCTTCAATAAAATTTTCTCTTTCTTTAATAAAAAAGTCATATAGGCATTGGAACTCATATGGGGGAGAGAGTGAGAGTTATTATATCAAGAAAGATAAAAGATACCAAGAAAGATACCCCAGAATCAAAGTTTATTATATCATAATTGAGGTTGTCATAAGTGAGCGGTGCACTAGGCGAGTAGTGGCTCTAAGCAACCGCCTCATTTGCATAGGTATTGGGCTGACCCTGTATAAAAATGTAACTTTACATTGTTACATCAAGTCAATTCAATGATTTTAGAGATGCTCTTATAGTTTTTGAAATTATACTAACGCCCCTTGTTAGATTTTGTCCCTAAATGAATCTAATGGCATGTGTGTGCTTTCAAGCTTGTCCATGTTCTTTATCCCTACATCCAAACGACTATAGTATTGAAAAATCCGCCATTCCTTATTTGGACAACGATAACCATGCAATCGAATACTCACTTTCTTTCTTTCTTATTCGTCATGTTCTTCTTCTCTCATTGCATATCATACCACTTAGACACACATTTAACCATGCATATACTTATAAATATGAGATATAAGGCCAGACCTTGGAGGCACATAGAGGAAGAGAGTAACAAATTGTTTGAGAGTAAAATAGTAGGAGAAGGCTGTTTTATTTTTTTGGAATTATTACAGGTTTTTTTTTTTATATGCGTAAGCTGAAAAGTTATACACATATCAATTATTATTATCTAAAATTTTAGTGGTGTCAATGCAATTTTTCGAAATATATGAAAATCTTGAATAGGGATCAAAAGCACGCTTCACAATGTCTGATCCGAATCTAACCCAATATAAGACTTCACCAATTCCTGTAATACTACCTACTTGAATATAAATGGACCCCACCTTCGGTCGGGTTTCTATCAGCAAATATATGATGAGTGATTTTTTATTGAGAAAATTAAACAATTTGATACTAAATATGACAAACTCCCAATAAACTATGTAAAAATTCTGCTAATTGTTCAATGAACACATGTTCAGATTACCTAATGAATACAATTTTAAACAATTACGTCTAGAATTAGATTGCATTTTTCAAGTTTCAAGGACCACAAAAACTGCTTATTTTAAGATTTTGATAATATCAGATGATTCAAGAGAGATTCAATGTATCGGTGCTTCTACGTAATTACCATTATTATTTTTTTTTACGTTATTATTAATATGTGATATTATCGATCAATTACAGATAAACATGTAAGACATGTGGATTTAACAAATTCGAAAACTATCAATAACTTTCACATTCAATCACTACCACGTAAAATTATTCGGATCCAATCGTCCTCGGTTTTTTATGTATATGATTGATTGATGATACCATTCATCAATGACGATGGGGTATCGTTGCTATATTAAATATTTACTGACATTATTCAGACCATATGTTTGGTTTTTTTTACTTAGAGAGCATTATCAGTCTATTATATGGGGAATTAAAGCACGTTTTTTATTAAGACAGGCCAACTTGCTTTTGCTAGGCATTGACCAATATAACATTATCGGTCTATTTTATTGTAATTAAAACACGTTTCTGATTAAGACAAGCTCATTAGTATTTAATTAGCCACTCAGCTAATCAAATCGTCATCAATGATGTGTAATTGAAGAAATAGGATGTTAACAATGGTCCAACTATGTTATCAAAAAATTAATTTTTGATATCACACCTCTTCTTTTCTGACAATAAAATGTGACATATGTCAAGTTTTATTATTTTACACTAAACGGATCAACGACTACAAATAAATTCATCAAATATCAACAACTATAAATTATTTTTTAAGATAATATCAAAAAATTTTGTGTCAATCCCATAACCTCTTTTTTTTTTTTTTTTTTGCTAATTAAAAAGGTGTGGGGGTAAGGAGAGCACCCCGAGTCTATCTCGATAAGCCTTACTAGTAGGATCACGAGGCCTCTGACTGCGTCCGTTACTCCTCTCAGGAACAAATCTAATTAGATTAATATAACGATCAACCACCGAACTCCAATGTTAACTTCAACACTCAAACTTCCAACTTATGAGTGAGAAATTCGGTCAACACTCACTCGACCCCCCACTCGGTGGTCACAACCTTATGCTGTTAACACAGGGAAGGTTAAGCTCATCTGAACCAAAGTTCTTTGCCTGTCTTTGTCAAGTGGCTTGGATATCAATGTTAGTCTTGGATATCAATGTTAGTTGATATGTAACATGTCTAGTAAAGACGTGGAAGAGAAAGACGATAAACATAAATTATCTCTTGTTGCGCAGAATCAAATCAAATCAATTTATTTTACAAATTAGTCTTCTATCTGGGACATTGAACTGGGTCAAAATTTTTGGAAGGTTGTGTTTGTTTAAGCCTATGCTATGTTGTGATTATGCTTAGAGGGGTCCATCTCATCACTTATGAACCTAGTCTCTTTTTTTGAAGGAATGTACCTAGTCTTTTGGTTGCGAGAGATTGCCTTAAAATATGGACTTGGTGTGTGAGTGGAACATACTTTTTTGACTAACGTTCCGTGTGTCCGTTTGGTTATGTTTTGAACGTTATTGTAGATATATATTTTTGGATTAATAAAATTATTTTTCAGCCAAGAAAAATAGATAAGTTCAAGTATCTCGGCAGCTTAATTGTAGAGGATCGCTTATTGTAAGCACAATTTTGTTTTACATAGTTCAGTTGCCTTTACGGATGAAGTGCAGGGACAAAAAAAAAAACACTATAACCATCAAAGATCGGAAAGAGGTCTGACAAACGAAACCAAAGCAAGAAAATAAATGTTTCATTCATAACCCAAAAAGAACTCCAGTTTCTTAATTGAAATAGGTCTCATGACATCTAGATATGATTTTCCGGAGATCCCGCAGGAAAATAATCCCCTATAGCACTCAACAACACTCATCCTTTTGAATAACGCTGGCTTTTGATCCATGTTAAGGCTTGGTGTTGGCCTCAGATCTCCATCAAATTTCGGGTTAAGGAAAGTGGCGATGGAAATCCTCTCCTTTTCTGAATTAACTGTTACTCGATGTTCAATACTATGATAAACTCCATTTGTCACAATCTGCAAAAAAAAAAAATGTTTATAAACGAACAGCCAATTTATTTTTTATGTAGTTTTAGTTGTGTCCTAACCTCTCTGGACATGAGAGACGTGCCTGATTCGCTCAACAATCCTTTGGTATTTTAGTGTTGGGCCTAATCCTTTTGGGTTTGGAGGGAAGTCTAGTTATTTTAGTCTAAATCGTTGTTTATATATTAGCAACGTTTTTCTTTGTCTCGTGGGATGTGAGATGTGTACTTACCTAATAAGTATCATAAGTGAGCATTAAACTATGCTCCTTATTTGGAACTACCCTTATTCTTAATTTTTTCAATTTAGAGTCTTTTTGTCCATTTTAAGCATCAAAATAGAAGGTTTTTCTACCTAAGATGTGCTCTCATTTTAGAATTGGGAGATCCAATTTAATTAATTTGTAAACATATGGAACAATGACATGAAAAAAAAGAAAAAAAAAACTAGTCACGACTTAGATGACCTGCCATTGACCAGACTAGAAAACAAAAAATATTAGTTAAGATACACATAAGCTAACTCAAATATCCTAACAGTTGAAACAAAAAAAAATAATAATAATTATGAAGTTGTTGAGGCTTTTGTATCTCTAGTCCTCCCCTACTACTAGTATAACAATGACAATTGGTTTTCCTAGATAATGGGGGAAAGTGATTTCTTTTGTTTCGGACAATTTGATAATGAGTGTGTGTGTGTGAGAGAGAGAGAGAGAGAGAAACGGATGGCGACTTGTTCTTGCTTTCTTCTCCTTTCTCATGGGAGACTTTGGACAGCTGAAACTTTTTCGCAATTCCATGGGAACATGTGGAAGAAGTCGTACTAAACCTTACCTAACACCACCATCTGTATTTTTTATTTTTTGGTTAATAGAACCTTGAAACGTAAAAGATACTCAAATTATCAATTAAACCCCTGATGTCCAAAAAAAAAAAAAAAAGGAAAATGTAATTTAGATTTTAACTGCGATTCACTATTCTATTATATTCAGTGGCGCATAAACATAACAATAAGTCATGTTTTTACATGCAATGACTACCCAAGAAAATGCAAATGCTTACGGATTTACCTCTAAGATGTCTCCAAGATGGTTCAAATATGAATCATGCCATTCAGAATGAGAGTAAAATTTTTACCACATACCTCTCTCAACCCTTCTTTTGGCAGAACTCTTGTGTGTTGAATATGACTTCCATCTTTTTGTTTAATTTGTAAATTTACATCGAAAATGATGAATAAATCATATAAAATTAGCATGAAATGTGAAGCTAAATTGGATACGTATTAAATAACACCGGATATGTGTCGATATTAAAAATATATTTGAAGGATATTATCATGGAAATATATTGGTTTTGGAGTAGGGGATAGGTAGATATATGAGTGCCTGAAAGAAACCCCATTCATTGCATGCATGTAGCTTTTCAAGCTCTAAGTCCACTGAATCTCCAAAAAGCAAGGTCTGCATGTCAACGATGGGGACTTGTGGTAAAGAGGAGGTATCAGATATGATCGGATGATCCTCATCGGGACGTATGTATCGTGGCAGAATCGAG